ATGCGGACTTACGTCGGATAGGCAGAATAGGCTCGCTTGGTCCCAGAATTGAACCCACTAAAACACAAGAATGCCCAAGAGCACCGACAGTGCGCGACGTACGACAGTGTTGTGTGACAACGACGTCAAACGACGTGGGACCGTCGGATCAATGCGATTGGCGAGACCTCTTCGCGACTCTTCGGCTCCGCTCGGCGATCGTCGGCGAGCCAGAGGGCGGCTCTGTCGGCTCCCCGGTAGAGGGAACTCTACTCCCCGGCCCCGATTGCCCCCGATGCCACCGTGGAGCGTGGAGCTTCATCATGTAGCGTTACATCGCAAATGTACAAAATTCGACACGATAAATCGCCCAATAAAATCCGGCTACCAACGGCTACGACGGCTGATCGCAACTCCACAGATAAGCGCCACAGATTAGTTTACTTATAAGAAACCGCATATAGTTTGCGAATGCTACTAAAGCAAAAATTTATAATCATATATATATATGTATTTGTCATTGTGCGAAAGTTTGTAAGATTTCGTGGTAAAGAATCGTTTCCCCAAAAATTCCAATAGCAGCAGAAAAAATTTTAATATCATATTAAGAGTAATGTAAAACGTGATGAAAATAATTGCGTGTGGATTAATAATTGTTTCTAAAATATCGAACTTGCAGCATGATGATTACAGCGTGCGAATACGAGCAAATTTATTCCTTTCACCAGTGTAAAGTCAGTCCTTAAATAAGAATGTATAATAATTTTTAAGTTATTTAATTTGTTCGTGACTTTGCCGTTTCTCTGCTCCAAAATCATTTGCCACTAAATTACTCCTAAAAATTTATCCATTCCTCCAAGTAGCCGATGACGCACGAAGCAAATGCGAATGCGCACGAAAAGTCGTACTCCGGAATACCGGAACTTTCGATTAATAGAAAAAGTTTCACATCTATACTCGCCACGTACTACCGTATGGATTATTTCGATCGTAGCATTGTGGCATAAAATTCTCGAAATCATTTCTATCACATTAATCTCGACGACATTCATATTCAATTCTGAAATAGTTTCCAATGTTTAGTCTCGTACAGGTATTGTTCGATAAGCGTGACCTTCATTCATACTTCTATCCGGATAGAATTCGTTTTCGGAAATCAAAAATATACCTAGAATGTGTCCACATTCTATATATATTATGAAGTGTGTAGTTAAACTATATTTTTTCGTTCAAAGAATTATATAACATCCACTATCTACCACAGATAACATAACTCATGATAAATACACGATTGTAAGTGCAGGCGATTAGAAGAAAGCTTCGAAAAAATACTCAAAAGTTGAGAAAAACACAGTCGCGAATATCGCGACTGTATTTGGAGATGTTCGTCTCTAATTGAATACTTTCAAAAGTAATTCATTCACGTGGAACAATTCTCATAAATAACGTATATCACATAATCAAAAATTTCGAGCGAACGCACACGTTAATTAACACTCAACCGCACGCTGATACAGGTTGATCTACACATTAAGTCGCGACTTAATCTTGCCTACCTGTTTCCAAACATATTTCCGAGCTATCCACGCAATGCCTTTCTGCAGCAGTTGCTCTATCATGTGCCAGATCATAATCGACTTTGGTGGACCGCGTATAAACGAAGGATTCTTCGGCAGGAGACCGGCATGTATAAACACGTACGACACTCGACGGGACACACATAGAAACGTATGAAACCAGACCGATAACTGAACGGAATGGCCCTCGTAGGTGGCACCACACCGCGAGTGTTATTTGAACGAGAATAGCATTGTTATCTTTTTTTTTTTAAATGTCCCCCGCCGCATTGTTATCATTTTCTTTTTAAACGTCACTCCAGCTGACTCCAGCCAGCAGTGACCATCACTCGACAAACTCCGTAAATTTGGGACGACAAAAAAAAAACGCGCGGAAGTCGTTCCACGAAAGTAGATATACGTGACGGCAATTTCAATCGAAATTGCGCAATATCGCGATTTGGGAAAAAAAATGCGGAGATCGCGAAACGGCACTTTTCGTATATGACGCATTACATAAGAGAATGATTTTTCGCCCGCGAAAACACGCGGTTTTTGGCAACGCGATTACATTCACGGGCTTGAAACTGGTCGCGAGAGAACCGCTTACTGTTACGATAGTAACGTTTTTTTTTTTTTTACCTGAGTTACTACGCCGACCGAGATGTACTTCGACTGGTCATGGGAAAAGTAGTTTGCCGCCGTCGTCGCGATCGCACCTTCCGGGATCGTCCACAGTTCTCTGCAGGTGTTCTGCGGCAGAGAAGAGTTCAAATTGAAGACCGCAGTATTTTGTTAGAATATTACGATGGACTTTGATGCTGTGATTAAAATTTACATTTTGCAGTAAATGAAAGATGATCCCCGTGACTTCAATCGGATTCATTCGTCAGTTATTCCACGCGGATTTTAGAAAAAAAAAAAGAATTATATATCTTAGCATATAGATTCATACAAAATTAATCTTTCCCTTATCGTGAGATTACCGTGAGATGAATATACCGTGCATATAATAAACAAGCGAGAAATTAAAAATTTTTTATATGTGCAAAAGATGCGAGATTTAAGATACGTTTTGCTACCGCCATTTATATCGAAAAATTACGCGCGATTACGCAAAGATATTAATCTCCCTTCCCTCGACAGAACGTCGATATCTAATACGAGCGCCAGCTCGTATTGTCTCGCACGAGGCCACGTGACACACAGACTTGCGCCAAAACACGTATAGCTGTATGCAGCATGTCGGAGTAAATGAGATCGCAATCGAATTACATCGACAATCTGGGCAAACTGAATTTTCTCAGTTAATCGGTAATCACTCGCCGTTATTTTTCAAGCTAAAGCCCGTCCCTCGTGTGTAGAAAAGGCTTAATGGTAGGGCGGGAGGAGAGGGTTAGATCTCCGAAGATGACGTCGTAACCCAATTAAAAGGGGGTGAGCGGACGGGGTGCGCAGGGCGCGCAGGCTACCTGTACAGCGAGACACGGCCGACTGGCACGACCCGCGGTTCTGCAAATTGTCAAGCAACGGGGCATACCGCGAACACTCCTCGGGGACAGCCTGAGGAGAGAGCGCAACGCGGTAGTTGCACACATCATAATCGCGCGCGCGATACTCACCAGGAGTACTTGCTGGAAGTAGTGCACCCCGTTGTCGGGGTGCGCTTGCGCCGTCGCGGCGGGGCTCACCCCGAGTACGACGGGCGGACATTTCGACGTCGGGTGAAGGTCAACGCCAGGTGGTGGCCCGTCGGGAATTTTGGTATCCATTGTCAGAGAGTCGCCCCGAGTCCTAAAACAGTCTTTACATGCGCCGGGAGGGAGAGAGAGGGAACGTAAGGGAGAACGTTCGCCGTGTGTGTGTGTGTAAAATGTCGCGCTATTTACGATCGACAAATTACGCTATATAGGTATAGATATTATGCGGGCTTACAGATCGAGACGCATCTGCGGACCGGAACGTGTCCCCGACGGCAGCGGCCGCGAGAAGTCGCCGACGAAGACCTGAGTCGCGTTCCTGTCGCTCTTTCGGATTTTGAGCGACTCTGACGTATGACGCGCTTGTCGCGAGAACAAGCTACGGTCAACTTTCGCGCGCACTCTCGCTGGCAAGTTCGGTTGATTGCATCTACCGTGATGCGGAGAATGGTATCGATGCACATTAAAGACGCATTGCGCACAAATTGGCGTGAGAGGCAAACATTACAAAATAAAATTACGTATAATGTTTCGATGTTTCTTTTCTTCTTTCATAACGTTTCACTATGCCGTACCACATTTTAAAAGTAATTAATATAACTATCAAATTAAACCTTCTCCTCTTTTTTTTTTTTGAGATGGATTTTCATGCCTATTGAGACAAAATATGATATTTTTAATAGAAATTCATTGATGACGAATACAGTCGTTCTTCAGTTTCCCTTCGATTTGTTTTATTTCCAGCACAATAGTTTTTATATAATTCCACTCTGCAAGGACGAAGCAATGTTCGTCGATGCAAGTCGATAAAGCTTGAAATAGTATGTATATTTTGCATAATGTATAATGCGAGGGACAGGAGACGACGATATCCAGCATAGCATATTAACTCAAAAACATCCAACCACCGAAATTGTGTCAATAGGTCACGCGTGGAAGATCCACGGAACGTTCAGGGGCTGCATGCCAGCTACGTGTCTTGCTTAAAATTCTAATGCTGTTTAAAGCACAATTATATTAGTGTCCTTCAAGTTAACTTACAAGAAAGTTTCCTATTGTTAAAAATATTTAATTATTCCATACATTAATTATACATAATATAACCAATTATGTTTAAAACCCTGCAGTTATGTTTTGAAATAAATGAACGGATACCAAGCGATAACAAATCTCCCCAAGAAGCTTCACATGTTGTGTTTGCATTATTAATGCAAACGTGCATTGTAGCACGTAATGCGTTTGCATTATCAATCATTTTGTGTAAAGATTAACAAAACAGTATGAAAAACAGTAGGAAAAAGAAAGAATGATTCATCTGTCAAACTAACATAACAAAATTTCCAATTCAAGTCATAAGTAGTTACGAGCCATTTATTAGTCAATCAGCAAAGTCTGCAGGTAAGAGCATCTGCGACACGCTGCGAGATCGCGCGCGATGAGGTTGCCTCCTCTAACCGCCCCGACCGACGTGATGGGATCGATGCGGTTGCCGTGGCGACGGGACCGTCAGAGAGGGCCGAATCGCGTGCGGATGACGGCTGCTGCCGGCGAGCGGGCGCGGGACGGGGGTTTCAGCGGCGCGCACGACGTTGCAGTGGCGACGTCGCCGCCGTTGAGGGCTCCACGGCTCTCGGGAGGCGCGATCTCGGAGGCCGCCTCGTCCGCTCACAGTCCGCTGGCCGGACCGATCCCTCTTCCCCGAGGCAGCGGGCACCGCGCGTTCGCCGTTGCACGACGCCGTTCCGGGACGACGAGCGTCCGCGCCATGCGGCGACAATGTCGGCCTCGTCGTCGCACCACCAGGACACCGACACGTACGGAGCGCGGCGTCAGGACGACGACAAGAGGATGTCCAGCGGCGCCGAGACGCCGCGTCCGGAGGAGACGCCGGCCAAGGTCCTGCTGCTGCGACGATGGAGCGACATGCCGCAGCACCTCCAATTCAATCCGCACATCTACACCGGCTACAGGCCGCTCATGACCATCCGCCAGTGCCTCGGTAGCCTTTTCTACATCCACAACGAGACCGTCAACATCCTGACGCACGGTGAGACCGGAAATCCTATCGCGATTACACATCCCGTGATTATGAATGCATTTATAATTAAAATGAAAATGACGCTGAACGGTTCATTTTTTTTTTCTTAACGTATGATCTTAACGCAGTTTCCGTCCTGCAATTTCTTCTTGTGTCGCACGACGAATTCTTTCAGAGTTGCCTGCGCGATAGCTAAATTGTATGCCGAATTACAGATCTCGAGAAAGATGGAATCTTAAATTCGTTAACTACTGTAATTATGATATAAAGATTTTGATTGCGCGAATTATAGTTATTTTTATTTTTCTATAAGCGTGTTTAAAATTCTGAAATAGTAGTTTAGCTTAGAGATTAGATGTTAAAACATGAGAGAAAATTATTTATTGCAATAATAAAATTTTCGCTTCCAAAATAAGACATTATTTGCTGAATTTCTTGACAAGTCCGATGTTGATTATTGTTGCAAAATTCTTTTGTAGCCAGAAGATACATTCTCTTTGTTTCGTACCACTTGTTTAGAAAAATAATAAAAAATTATCATAAGAAATTTAACAGTGAATGAATCTAGATTAATTCTAAGTTCGAATTATCGAATTAAATTTCGCTAATTCGACTAGCTGTTTTGATGAAGAGAGAGAAAGAGAGAGAAAGGAATACATATTGCAAAGTAAAATAAAATAAATCAAATGCGAAACTCTGTGACTCTGCAAAACGAAATTGAAATTGAATCGCAGGATAGTAGCTATCATTATTCTTCACGCGGTCAACTATATTCCATCTACAGAATACGCGATTATATCACAGAGAAGATTCGTCATCCTCATGATTGGATTAACCGGGAAAGTAGATTAAGTCCCTTAAGGGCTTTAAAGTCAAGGTGCATACTATCAAGGCCAACTTCCGTGAAAACATCGCGCTCAACGAAGACGCATTGCGGGGTAACGAACGATCGATGAAAGCGAGCCCATAGGATATTCTTTCTCCGTTAAAGCTGATTCATTGATAAATTTCTAATCGTACTGAATGTCAGTCAAACATATTCTAAACGTGCACGAACGATTTATCAGTCTTTGTACATATAACAAATAGCGACGCGTTTGCACGGCGCTTCGCTCGTTTTTGTGCATAAAATAAACCGCGATGTATGTACATGCGCTCGTCCGAAATCGGAATCCTTCTGTAGAAAGAGATTATAAAAAGAATTCTTTCTGTCGCTCTTTAAAATTACACGAATTACCCTTAACATACCTTTATCTTCCTTCGTTCGAAGGAGAAACCAGCTAGAAGAAGCATTTGAGCGTTCTGTTCCTGGTGGACCATCCTGTATATAAATCTCATGTATCGACCGGCGCACATGTGCGTGAAATAAAATCTTAGTAGGTCAGAGCTACCCACGTATGTGGGGGAACTCATTAAAATACAATCTTAAAATAATTTTTTTAAAGAAAATTAAACAATATTATGAATCTATACATCCGTCTCGATTTATAAATCCCTCTATATTTGCCAATCTTTTTGCCGTTAACGTTTTTTAGTTTATCAATGATAGCATTATCATTTGAATAATTATTTGTGAGGCAGAAAATTTAAAAAAATTAAAAAATTTGTTCTTGATGAACAGTGCTTCTCTCTTTAATGGAAATTATCTTCCCATTTTGAACATTTTCTTTATAAGAAGATATGATTATTAAATTTGTCGAAGGTGAAAATTATAAGTTTATAAAAGATGAATTATATCTCTCACGATATATATGTATCACGATATATATCACGATTTTTCTAACATCCAAGAATTTCATACCGAAATGCATTTGCCCGAAAGCAAATCCTGTACGAGCGACCGTGTGTGCTTACAGGATTCGCTATCCTGTATATGTTGGTGACCGTGCCACATCTCCTCCCATGGAATACAAAAGGGACACTCGTGGGAGTTCTGTCCTGGTGTCACTTGATCGGCGCTGTTAGTCCGTGGATCGGATCCTTCCTGTACCACCTCTTCATGAACGTAAACTACGACGAAGTTTTGTACAGAACACTGCTGAAAGTCGACATGATCGGCATATGGCTGTGCCAGAGTTTCGGTGTGTGATCCGATTTTTAAATGAAAGCCCCTTTCACAGAATGTGCTGAATGAACACAATGACTAGAGCTCACAATTTTAGATTTTATTTTACAAACGACTTTCCTCGTATATTTCAAGTGGATCTTACAAATTACTTTGGTCGCGACTTCCGCTTCGGATGAAGAGAGTTTTAAATAAGGAGTGATTACGCGAACAGTTTCTGTAGTGGCAGAAATAAAAGACGCTTCTCTATTTCATGCACGATTCATTTCAGGAGCTATACCGATGATGGCAGCCGCTGTTCATTGCCTTGCCGATAACGTCTGGTATTGCTGCATTTTTATTTATTGCTCCCTTAGTATGTGGGGACTTTTAAAGGTATCTTCTAGCTTACGTCATGCCGAGATACTCGTCGAGATTTTCGTTGTGATAAAAACGTTTAAACATTTTAATTCATAGGCAATGACTGCGAGATCACCATGGGAAAGGCGTTTATGTTTTGCCCCTCCTTTCCTAATGAGAATGCTGGTCATGACGCTGAGGTGTTTCGGCATTGGTGGCGGATCACCCGAGGCTCTTATTCATATAATATTACAGGTTGACTTTGAATATACGATCCCGAGACAGCCGCGCGCGCACCGAACTGACGATTATAGAGATAATGCTGATGTAGGAATGATTTTCAGGATCTCATAGCTGTGATAGGTGCAACCATTGGCGCTCTTCGCATTCCAGAGAAGTGGATCCCCGGCAGATTGGATTTAGTGCTAAATTCCCATAATGTGATGCATGTTATGGTCGTCCTGGCGGTATGCTCCATGCACGCCGCAACCTTGAAGGACCTCGCCTGGATGTCCGATCCGTCTACGTGCAATAAAACAAGCTCTCTTCCTTCGGGTCGCGAAGAATTGTGATTGAATCATGAAGAACGCGACGGCTTGCTGCAGTCTGTGATAAATCGAGCCTATAACAACTGGCGATTAGTCGAGCGTTTCGACATTTGGAGACCAGAAAGTGCTGAATTCTATAATAGATAAAGTTAAGGATATCGAAAAAAAAATATATATACATATTATACATATATATATAAAACAGAGTTTAATACAGAGTTACTTAATTTATGTGATCATTGCGGGACGGTTTAGGTACAATCACGAGTACAAAGTACATACGGTTACTTATCATATCGAATGCTTAATGTAATGGGATATTTGTGGTGTTTTTCTGCAAACACACAAATAGGTAAAGTAGAATTGATGGAAACTGGCGGGAGTATAATGCGAGAAAGAAGTGAGTTTTGTCTTATTTGTTTGTTTGTTAAAAGAGCAAAATATTTTACCTTAAAATTTTTAACAATATAATTGAAGAGAAATATCGTTTATCATCTTTCCATTTTAATGAAATGATATACATTTTTATATCAAAAATGTATCTATCTTTTTTATTGTAATTAGTGAGGACAGTTTATTTGAAAAATATCGTTGTAAAATCGATTCATACATATATTTCACAGATTTTAAATTCCATTCAATCTTAAATTTTTATTCAACATTGTAATATTATTTTATATATCTTATAATTAAATTGTATTGTTAACGAAAAAAATTCAGCAATGGAATAAAATCTATCTCTTCTTTAGTAAAAAAAAGACAAACACAAGATAAAAATCAATGTGTTAGGAAATAAATCTTAAAACAAATATTTATCACTTTTCCTTACAACTCGCTTATTCTTTACATGGTTACCTGGAGAACATATAAGTCTATTGAAAGAAGTTAGGAATTTACTAGAGTCAATTGTATGTACTTCATTAACATATAGTGAGAGAAAGTATTAAAGGTGATCTGTGGAAAGCAATACAAGCACATCAATACGTTGTGATGCAACAACTTAGAGTTTAACGGTCTACACGGGTCCGTATTTAAGATCTTGATATACGAATCAGAGCGTACAAATGATAAAAGGCTATTTCAAACTTACAGCTATTCTACTTAATTGATCAATATAAACATTAATTGTGTTGAGAATAAATTAATTTTTCAAAATTCAGAGAAACAGTGTATTTTTTAATGGGATTTTAAAAACTGATTTATTTCTCGTATTAGAATGATAAAAATTTACATGGTCATGTCGAACTATATTTGAAACAAAATTTGGAGAAACCGTTCAAACAATATAGAGGAGAAATTATATTCGCGCGAGAACAGGATTAAAATTTTCGGACCGTGTAGACTTTGAGAGTCATTTAACAATATACATATTCTGAACGTCCATTTCTTTATATTAATTATGCTTCATAATTATATCAACTAAAACTGAAATAATTTTAAATATCGGTGGATGCTGGTTCAATTCCACTATAGCAAGATAATTCGTCGTTCAGGTGATACTAAACCCATAATAAAATTATTCTAAAGAGATCTAATTCTATTTCCATTCAGAAATAGAGCAATGGAAAATTAGAAATGTAAATTTCGATTTAGATGAGTAATTCAAATTATAAAATATATAGCCAATTGATATACAGTAAAAATTGACTATAGATTTACGATTTTGTGCAAAGATTACTTAGTAGCAAAAGAGCAACCGATAGGAATTACAAAGTACGAGCATACATTTCACATGTCCCGCAAGAGTTGACATGCGTTGCATTTTCACATGAGTGTGTTATATTCTTACTGCATAAATAAAATCGTAAATTTTCAGTGCTTGCTATTTTTTTATTATATATAATTATACAAAATTATATACATAATTTAAAAAATTTACAGATTTTATTCAATTAACACATTTTTAAACTTAACTATATATAGCTGAGCAATAATTAATTAATAAACAAAACCATGTTACATTCTTCAGTACATATTTTGTTAAGTTCTTAAGTATGCAATTCATTGCGAAATGATGTAAGGCACTATGTATTTTAGTGCTTAAATAATTATATATTAGATCTATAAATAAATTACACTTCCATGCGATTGGAAGGTATTATCAACGTAATTAACTCTTTAAAGAATAGTTTGTGATTTGCAGGTTGTATAATGTACTAATAGAAACTGTTATAGAAATATAACGCGTGATACAAGATAAATAAAATATCTTGAAAAATGTGTACATGTACTTAATACAATTCAAAGAAAAGCACATTCAATATATTATAATTAGATTTTTGTTTTCGATCTTGTAACATATCGAGAATTCACTACACTCACTATTTTTCTTCTTCTGTAAGAATAATTCAATAATTGTACTCTCATGATTCATATGATTTATTTGTTGCCAAGTTTCATTACTATAACGGGACTTCGCTCTCCTGAGTATAACTCTTTACCCTGCTGAATTTAAGAGGTGGATATCTGCCGCCGATCGGCGACGCCCTGAATTCCCTTACAGATGGTTCCTTTAGACAAATCTTCGTTTCCTGTCCGTTTTTATATTTTGTGAAAATACTGTAGCTGACCCATTTCAGTTGGGAGTTTACTCTTCTGTGATAATTCTGTATCTCAAATTCCTACAACATACGTAAGAAAACTGTTAACTAATTTTTGAAAGAGTTTGATGAAAGCTATACATTTTTTGATGAAAGCTACACAAATTTTTGATGAAAGCTATACATAGCTTTCAATTTCAGACATATCTAGTCCTTATTACTTACAATATGAAACGTTTGTTCGCCGCTGTCGTGCACCGGTTCTCTTTTTTTCCTTCTGTAGAAATTGATTCCCTTAGTTTCTTGCCTCTTCAACACAAGTATAACGTAATTATCGTGTAATCGAAAATGACCAACGAGAACTGATGGGTTGCGTGGTGTGCGATTTCGTAAGGAATTCACGCAGTTTTGAGCTTCCTCGGTCGATGTCAACATTAAAACTCTTCCTTCGGGAAAAAATCTAAATGCAAGAAAAAATGTTACGAAAAATTAATTCACTTGGGATGTCGTAATATGATTACAGTAAAATAGGAATTTTTGTCGATATTATTATAGTAATACTGCTGTTATATACCTCAGGTACCGGAAATATTCAACGAGATGCCACGGTCTGTAAAAACGGTCTTGAAAATTATTTTCTCCATCGCGTATGTAGCTCGTTTTATTGATATAACATCCGTTGTATCTTAATCTAGGCCGCTGCAAGTACATATCCCTCCAGGACTTGTATTTCGGTTCGCAAGTACCGCAGTTTACACCCCACACCCTATCGAAACAGCAATTCCATTTACATGATCAATCAATAATCGAGCAATAATATTTATGGATATTTACCTAACACACGCTAGACGCCAGATCTCCGTGTCTCGTGCAGATATGTAAAATCCGCGGCATACTCTCGAAAACATTTCTAACGATCGAAAATCCAATTCAGAAGACACAACCCATCTTAGAATGTAAAGCACTATCTCCATAGGTAATGCGGAGATATGCGTTGTCTGTAAAACACATAAAGAAAAAATGTCCAAATATAAAATACAGCACATTTCAAGAATTACAGCACAATCCTGTGTGCATAAATATATCGTACATTTAAAATAATACTATAAATGTTAAAATGAGGATGCTTACACTTTGCTCAAATTTTGGAAAGCATACACATTGATTGCGGTTTACGATTTTAGACAACTTCAAAAATAAATCAGTTTCCTCTTCGTCAACTTCATTGTGATTCTTGCTGTCGTTGGTAGTTGAAAAGTCATTGTCTAACGTATCAAAACAATCATCGGCATCGAATCTGTCTCTTGCTTTTGCTTTCGTTGACTCGTACAAACGAACTTCAATATCAGGAACCAATTGTACCGCACGTTTATAAAACTGGATCGCCTCGTAAAACTTTCTGCTTTGTTCGTGCTCAATACCTTTAAGGAATAAATTCTTTGCCTGAAACAAAGCAATATTCTTATGGTAATGTTACAGAAATTCAAAGCGTCTTATTTCGAAATAATCAATAATCACAGTACCTTGCTCTCGATAGAGGCTTCGTCGTTTGCCACCTCGATGTTAGGCTGACTTGGCGAATACGTCTTTGATGTATCACGCTTAGGTGATATCGTCAGCTCGCGCTGCCATTGTTCCCTGAAAGACGTTAAGGTATCCACAATGTTTGTTCCTTCTTGCAAAGAAGACGCCTCTTGATCATCGCCTTCGTCCGTGTCATTGCTGGATTCACTGCCGTGGTTCTGCCAATGCACGAGGCAATAAATATTTTGGATGGAATTACATGAATTTAATATTAAAAAATTCATTAGAAATTTAACAAAGAGCTTATTACAGCGCAATATTTATTTTATATATAACAATTGTTTATTAAACACGATATACACATGTTCATTAAGTAGCTAACAAAAATATATTTATTTTCTTTGAACACAACTATAGTAAACAAAAAAATACACATCTATGTATATATGGACTACGATCTGCCATTATCCAAAACAGATCCAGATTTACACAGAATTAATAATATTATATAAACAAATCCTTGAAAGATACGAAAAGCAAATATAGTTGGTATATTTATATGTAATTACAAGAAATGTGACATAAGCCTTTCAAAAGACAGGCTGATCATTCCACAAAGTAGAAGGTAGAAAAATTTAAAAACTGACTAGGCGTTCCGGTGGCAAAATTAAGAAATTTATTAAAAAAAGCAGGGCAATCAACTTGATCTTCCGGGAGGCTCGTACAACGAAATGACGCAACATATTGCAGGAAATGGTATCGGCTGCCCGGTCAGAGGTTAGGCCACCGCCAAATACTCCGGCATACGATTACGTGCCTGCCTCGCGACGACAGTGACGGACAGTTGCGTTTTCACGTACCATTTTTTCTGCCTACTCGATCCCGACGGCTTTTCTCCCTCAGCGCATGTACTCTCGGTCGGAAAAGCGCACGACACAGCGAAAGCACAATTTCGCCAATAGTACCGCCGCCATGGTTCTCGCCTTTCTGCGTTTCTCGCCAATCTCGCGGCTCGCCGAGGAAGGCGAAGGTCGTTGCGCGACCGACGTGCGTATCCGTTCGATTCGGCATCGACGCGATGTACGCACGCATCCGTCCTTGCCGTATCTGTCGCTGCAATCATCATCATAATTAATCATTGCTCACTCGCGGTGAGAGTTGTTCTACCATAAAAATAACATTTACTGAATTTTGAAAGTTTTTTCATAATTCAGCCTCGAGATAGGTATGCGCAAATCACTGACTAATGAATGTCCAAGAAAAATCAAACGTTCTTGGAATTTTTTTTATATTTAATTTTCCAAATATATATATTTGAAAAAAAGACGTTTTATGTCTATATACAAAAATTTTTAAAGCGCTTTGCTTCGCGGTTGATCGACAATTATATAAAGCCTTCAACAATGTTGAATGTCAAGTTAAAAAGGTAATAATAATTTGATTATTTTGAAACGATGCAATTTACGTTAATAATTGTCTTTTGAAAGATTTATGCGTAATACGAGAGAGAGA